AATACAAGTTACAATTTAACTTCCAGACTATCCTCGAGTTCGTCGTAAGACACGAGACAAGTCTGATACTACCACTTTTCTTGTTTTTCATGTCACAGTTCATTTCCACTTTGTTGTTCAAACACAAGTACACAATACATATTGTACAAAGACATTTGTGTTAAATTAGGTCATGTAGAACTTCTAGACTATATGTATGTAGGTGCAGATGGTATAATTTTATGATACAAATCAAATATTGCTATTTTATTTTCCCAGGCTCTAGATGCACTCAACAAGAAAGATATTACAGAAGTAAAATCCTACGCAAAGCCACCGCAAAAAGTCGAAATGGTCATGGAAGCGGTCCTCATATTATTACAGGTTAAAGTGACAATGTGACTGAAGTAGAAGGTTACTCCTGATAAGGGGTCAACTGATTTTGGTTATAACTAACAGAAGGAGCCGACGTGGGCGGAGGCGAAGCGTCAGCTAGGAGACCAGTACTTCCTGGACCGGCTGCGGGACTTTGATAAGGATAACATCTCTGATAAGACGTTAAAGAAGATAGGCACATACACCGCTAAGCCGGACTTCGAGCCGGAGATCGTGGGCACGGTGTCGCTCGCCGCTAAGTCGCTCTGTCTCTGGGTGCGCGCCATCGAGAAGTACGGCAAAGTTTACAAGTAAGACATGTTTAATCTATTTTGTACTTGGGAGCAAAAGATATTTAAAATACATAGAGTAGACAGTCAGCAACATTTTTTCACTGTTAACTTCTTTCAAAGGTACTATGTTATCAAGTTTAGTGCCACCTCATGTCCTTTTTTTGACATAAATTATTTATATCTTTTCTTATAAAATAAACTAAACAGGGTCACAAAAGAAAACACAGAGTTTTAAATATGATTTAGTGACACATATTGGCAATTTATTTAAAACAATACGAGTATATTAATAGATAGCGTTAGTGAGGACCATGCGAAAATGTCAAGTGTTAAGAACAAAATTAGTACCGTGCTGTAGAATTGGCGCAACTCTAGATTATCGGCATAAATGTCACGTCCCTAGCTGACAGCTGTCCATGTCCCAAGAAGGATGGATATTGACGCGCATCCTAAGTCCTGACGAGAAGTATTGCTCTGAGTTTAAAGTGACAGTATCAATTAAATAAGTTGTCTAAAACAAGTGAACTGTCAACTATTTCCTCAACATATTTTTTGTTTTTTTTTTGTTGGTAGCATTTGTGGTGCTTATAGAATTAGGATCCTAATTGTGTATAATAATGTTAATTTATTATAGAATAGTAAAACCGAAGAAAGAGCGTCTAGAGGAGGCTCTAGAGTCCCTGCGCATGAAGCAGCAGATCCTGGCGGAGGCGCGCGCCAAGCTGCGGGAACTGAGTGAAATGATCGCACGCCTGCAGAAGGAGTACGACGAGAAGCTAGCGCAGAAGGAGGAGCTCGAGAGGAAGTCTAGGATGCTGCAGTTAAAACTTGAAAGAGCGGAGGCACTCATCACCGGATTGTCAGGTAAGTTAATCGTCACACATTTTTTTATATTATAAGGTAGCAAACGAATGGCCACCTGAATTCGCCAAGAAAGTGAAGCGATCGCTGCCCACATCTGCAATTGCAGATGCATTGCCTACCCTTAATCAACGGAGGAGACCGCATATAAAGAAGATATTTCCCCTTCCTATGCAACTCCACCGTCAAATACACTTTCTCTTCCAATCCTTACCATATAACAAAATGGTGGAAAAAGAAAGGGACCAATAGGCTTAATTTTAGATGTTGAAGGAGAAGAGTTTTTGAGGAAATTTTATTTAAATTACTTATCTACTTAAACTTAGGTGAACGTGAGCGCTGGGAGATGACAGTGGAGCGACTGGACAAGGAATTCGACAATCTGCCGGGCGACTGCCTCATCGCCACCGCCTTCGTGGCCTACCTCGGACCCTTCGTCTCCGAGTACCGCGAAGAGCTCATGGATGACTGGTTCCGGGAGGTGAGACCCTGGCTCCTGACTCCTGGCTCCTTGATGTTACTACTAGGTTCTGACTTATTCTTGTCTCTGTCAGGTTTACAATGAAGCTGTACCAGTTACAATGGATCTCAGCATGAAGAACTTCCTTCTAGATGATGCTACGTTGAGAGACTGGAATTATATGGGACTACCAGGTTTGTAGAAAAAAGACTGAAACTACAACAAAATTTTCTTTTGCACTTGATCTGATGGTTTTAGAGATTTTTAATGCCTGTTAGAAGTTGCTTATTAACGCACTATGATGTTTTTAAGATGATAACTTTAGTGCTGAGAACGGCATCATAGTGCGTCGTGCGACGCGCTGGCCGCTGGCTGTGGACCCTCAGGGTCAGGCTCTCATCTGGATATCTAGACTCGAAGAAAATAATGGAATCGAAGTAAGTGCAGTAAGAACATTACATAATACTAGCTATTGCTAACGAATTCGTCTTCAATAATTAAAAAAAAAATAAAAAAACATAGCCTATGTTACTCCCTGATAACGTAGCTTTTAAGTGATTAAAGATTTTTTGAAATCGGCCTAGTAGTTTTTAAGTTTTTCAATACATACAAAAATACAAATTTTCACTCTTTATAATGAACTAGCTGTTGCTTGTGACTTAGCCTACGTCAAATTGAAAAATATAGCCCATGCTTCTCACATCTGTGATAAAATTTAAAAAATCTTTTTCCGTTAAAAGGTATATCTATACCTTTTAACGGAAAAAGATTTTTTAAAATCGACCCAGTAGTTTTGGAGTTATTTTTCAATATATACAAAAAAACAAATCTATCCTCTTTATAATATTAGTATAGAAGTATAGATAAAGCGTACTGAAATACAAGTATTTGGAATGTAGATCTAAAACTTCTGCATAATAAAATATACATATAATTTCCATCAACATTTCTAAATAGGTAGTCGATTTCGGCCAACCAAACTATCTGAAGGTGATGGAGAAGTGCCTGTCAGAAGGCCTTCCTATCCTGATCCAGAATGTGGGAGAGATTCTGGACCCTTCCATCGCACCTATCCTGGATAAAGCCATTGTGAAGATCGGGACATCACTGGTGATAAAATTCAACGAGAAGATGGTGCCTTACAACTCCAACTTCCAGCTATACCTTACTACTAAATTAGGTTATTTGAATATTATTTTTACATGCTCATTCACGCAAAGAATTCGAACCCTCGGCCAAGCTATTGGCGCTTAATTGAAAAAAAAAACATACTTGAGTAATAATATAAAATAATTGAGTACCTCCTTCTTTTGGGAAGTCGGTCAAAAATAAATAAGTAAGTACTGTAAAGGCAACCCAATCTACACACCGGAGATCCTAACGAAGACGACGATGGTGAACTTCGCGGTGAAGGAGCAGGGTCTGACCTCGCAGCTGCTGGGTATCGTGGTGCGCAAGGAGCGGCCGCAGCTAGAGCAGATGAAGGACACTCTCGTACTCTCCATCGCAAGGGACAAGAAAGTCTTGGTTATTATTTATCTAACATATGAAAGAATTACAGTATAAGTAACCTAAGTAAAAAAGTCTAAGCTTGTCTTGTAGCAACAAACGACAGGTACTGCAGCTGGTTATCAAATGAGTTTTATTTTTTTTTAGTAAGAATACACTATTTCATGGCAAATAGGAAGTGGTAACGGGTAACAGAGATTACACTGATTAAATACAAACTGTATACAATAAGTAATAGAGCGTCGGTGGCTCAGTGGTTTAAGCACTTGACTTGTAATCTACAGGTCTTGGGTTCGAATCCCGCTGTACCAATGTGATTTTCGATTT